TAAATTTTAGTTAAATTTTAGTTAAAAACTAAAGCAGTTTCCTAAAAAAAAAAAAAAGCCACCCCTATGTGGTCATGAACAATCTTTTCTTCTTTGATGGTGTGGTGTGTTCAGGTACTCTTTATGTGTTCTGTCACCGTAACTCAAACTACAGATGGGGGATTTCAAAACATTAAAGACTGCTATTTCATCTTAAAATAAATACATTTAGAAAGACAAAACAAATCATTCAAGCACTGTAAAATAAAAAAGGTATTCTACAGAGTATTTTAAAACAACACTTAGGATGAGAACTTTAACTATACACCAGAGAAGGTTATTAATTTACTTCATCTGTAGCAAGTGATTGTTCATGAAAGCACAATGTCTGGGAGTTTATGGCTGAAAAAGACATACTGTGGTTTACAATTTGATAGTGTAAATGGTGAGAAGGTAAAAGATGTTATATAAAAATGTAAAAGGTTAACAGCAGTAACATAAAACCAGTTTTGGTCTCAGCAAGAAGGAATCAAAGATAAAAAAGGAGAACATATTTAGACAAATCAGTCAGAAAAATGTTTTGGTGCTGTCCTGACTGCAGAGCATTGAAGCAGCTCAACATGAACTGCTTCTTATCAACCCTTTTATGGATTAGAGAGTTTGTCACTTTATGTGAATTTGTTTATTCTTCAGCACTGGCTGAGCAAAAGTAGAGCATTAATTGGCATCTGTAGAGGGAAATTTTCCTGTGTAATTATTAACGGGATCTATCCCCAGTCCCCACAGCCTTGTTTGATATTTCTTTTAAATCAGTGACTCATGTCCACATTTTTGTTAACTTCCAGAGATGTTGGCAAGCGACTGGTTAATATTTATCTGGTTAATGAGCTTGATATGTGAACCAAAACAACAAAATGGCAAAGGAGAGCCACTACAATTTAGGGTTTTTTTTACAGCTTTTATAGCTCCCTTTCTTTGATTTCTTTTTTTGTTGCTACATTTAAATGTTTCAGATCAAATTTTAACATCTGACAAAGATATCCTAAATCAATTCATAAATAAGGACATAAAACCAATTTCATATTAAATTTGCGAATGGAAAAAGCTTTCCAAATCAACAATGCTCTACATGAAAGGTAAAAAATCATTACCTTTTTATCTTTCATGTAAAATAAAAGATCTCAAAAAGCAACACATTCTGCCCTAATCTAGAGAAATTCTTTGATATCACTCTGGAAATGGCTAAAAAGTCATTTCTAAGACTTTGGGCTTTGGGCCATTAAATACAAAAAACATGGAAGGGTCGTGAAACTTAGCAGCCGCGGCACGCCTACCAAAATTACTCCAAAATCACATCAACAATTCAGAACAGCATCAACTTTATTAGGATCAATAAAGTATTTTTGAATTTGAAAGGCACAGTGCCAAGTGAGATCTGTCATAAGCCTTACTTGTCTCAGTTTATGGTCTGTGTTCCCAACACAAAGCCAGGCAAAAATGGCCGTGTTGGGAGATTTTCTGAGCGAGAACCGCTGCTGACCAAAAAAAAAAAATCACAAAAGCAACAGAGATTTGCAACAAAATCTGATCGTTTTGAAAGATGTGGATCAAAACGCCACGCTGTGTCCGCAGTGGTGGTTTTTCCTGAGTCTGGATTTGAGGGAACCATGAATTCAGCTTTGAAGCAAAAATACTGAATGCCCAGTCAGCACTTGGGTTACGCAGCTGGTTGGCGATCCATGTCTGAATGGCTCAGAAACACAAAACAAAGGGTTTTGGTGGGTCTGCCTAAAGTCCTGACTTAACTTGTGGCCTTAAACAATCCCATCATGCCATTATCTATAAAAATGGCATGATGGGATGTAGGTGAAGTGGGACTGTTTGCATTCTCACATAAGGGAAATTGTCAAATTGCCTTAAAATGAAATCCTTTTAATCAGCATTTTATACTTAGTTATGCTACCTGTCATGTTGTTTGTACAAGTGGAAAAAGTAAAGAAATCTGTCGGGGTGCACATACTTTTCCATTGCACTGTATGTCTTCTGCCTTACCTTTTAGTATGTTTGTACACATAAAATATGCTGAACATGTAAATTAGCATTTAAAGTGCTTTATATGCCTCTACCTATTGAATAAACATATCACTTATTTGGTTTTTTTATGCTGCAAATGAAGCTTCAGACTCCTGTGGTGCAATCTAAAGCTTGTTTAACTTATTTGAGTAAATGTCAGCAGCGTCACGGTGCTGTCTGAAGTAACTCAGGCAGCATTCGTTTAAAAGTATCACACAAAGAGTGAAGGACTGTAAAATAGCCTGTGCATTTCCTTTTGCAGCAGATCTGATAAGGGCTGCTGTGGATTTGGTTATTTAAGGTCAAAGTAGAACCGGACCTAAAAGGAAACCAGGCAGGGCAGCAGACTGGATTAAAGGCATTTAAGTGGCTCATACTGGATCTCTGCTGCCAAGACTAGAATTATTGTTCTCAGATTGTGTTTTATTCCAGTAACAAAATGATCACTGAACAAGCTTATCTACTGTTCAGATAAGATTTCTCTTCCCTCCAGGTTTCTGGCTATAAACACACAGATGATGTTTGTGTTTCTCTTTTTTTTTTCGGTGCGAAACATTTGATCGGTGCTTGTTTCCTCATACCTAACTGGGCCTAAGCTGTGAGATCAGACCAAAACCAAAAACACTTCCTCATTCCTTAAGTCTCTCCATTACCAGACAAAAACCAGACTGGGATGACTCTTAAGAAAGGTGGAAAAACTTGTTGCTTTGATGTGTCTTTTAGTCAGTAGCTTTCATTATTCAGACGTTTTTCCAGATTAAAGTTTGTTATTCCTTTAACTGCTGTAATTTCCTGAACTGCCATTCCCAACCTCAGTTTTTTTTCCCCCCCTTCATGCCTAATTGGCTGTCTCTCTTTTTTCCTTTTCATCATAGGAAGTCTCCCTCCAGGATGTCCGAAAAGAGATCAGGTTCTGTCAGAAGGTCAAGCTGCCCATCATCGGGGTTGTGGAGAACATGAGCGGCTTCGTGTGTCCCAAATGCAAGGTTGCCGGCAAATATGAACCACTGTCATGCAGTCGATACTGTTAAGAACTTGAAATGGTTAATTTTATGTTTTTCAAAAGTGTACTAAAAACATGGATACAGGAAGAAGATTAGATTTGGTGAGGAAAGATTTTGTTCGCAGACCAGAACAGCTGAGATAAACGAGAAGAGGAATGAGGAAGTTTGTAAGTGGAACCTCCAGAGGACGGACCTTTGGGCCTCTGTGTCCTAATCTACTAGTAGATCAGTCCCAGCTCAGTTTGCTTAGACGGACCCACTACAAAGTTTTCACAACCAAATGTTCCTCTGTGTGCAAACGTAACAGTCATAAATTATGTCTATTTTTCTGTCTTTTCTTTGTACATTTCTGTTATGTGTGTTTGAATAGAAGCTAAACTTCAAGATTTTACATTAAGAGATTTTCTGCCAGTCAGAACCGATTCCTTGCTTTTTACGTTATATTTACAACCATTAGCACAATCGGTAAGACAGAATAAGGATGTTAAAGGAATAAATATTAAAGCTATTGGACACAAATTAACATTTTATGCAGACGACATATTAATTTATGTAGAACAATCAACCTACTGTCTACCAAACTTACTGCAGTTATTCAAACAGTTTGGTCAATTATCAGGGTACATTTTGGACTGATTACATGGATGGATGGCGAACTGCAAATGTCACGGTCGGTTTTTATAATAATTATTAATGCCCGGACATCAAATGTGTAATGTAGGACAGGAGCTTTGTGGTTTAAGATCCAGATTATGCTTTTGTTTTTCTTTTCCTCTCTTATAGAACACTTCACAGATCTTTCCCCCCTCCAGCGGCGGTGCAGAGAAAATGTGCGCAGACCTAAATCTACCTCTGTTAGGCCAGGTGCCACTGGACCCGAGGATCGGACGGAGCTGCGATGAGGGCAAATCTTTCCTCCAAGAAGTCCCTGACTCTCCTGCAGCTGAAGTCTACCATGGGATTGTGCAAAGTGAGTTCATTTCTATTCCCGATATTCCATTTCTTTCATAATTCTGTGTCATTTTTTTTTCATCCTTTAGAAGTGAGGAAGTTTGACGTACACTCAGTCACATTCCCTTTTCTAGTGAAGTCCCTTTTTTTTTTTTTGATGACTTGTTTGTTAGGCTGGTCTAATTCCTGATTAGATCTACTGAAAGAAGAAGTATTCACTTTAAAAAATGGGAAGCAGTCTGCTAAAGAGGAAGAAAAAAAATGTTTAATGAAAATTGAATAACTTTAGGTTCAGCATAAAACCGATTCTATGGAATTAACTGGGGTTTGTGCACCTCAGCAGATTTATCTGAAGTGTTTTCTCTTTCTTCTGCCAGGTATCCAGGACTACTGCGCCAACAGAGCGGCCGACGGTCAGAACGCAACATGACCCCCAAGACCGAAGCAGATTACAAGAAGCGTGGTAGAGACCTGGAGAACAAACACACACAAGAACGCTTCTGACACTGACATTATAGCTGCAGTTTTAGTCTGAACTATTCTCAAGAACAGGCTTTTTTTATTGTCAGAAACTTTGATTTGTGTGTATATATTTGATCCGACCTCATTGTGCTCTGCTTACTCTAATGAAAACACAGATATGTCATGTAAAAAGCACCGGGTGGAACAAATCCGACAAACGACTTTGAATGAATACTAACTGAATGCATTCCCACTTTTTGATGAAGAAATAAAGATTGTCCCAAAAAGATAAATCTCCAAAGAATCTTTGCCTAATGATCATACTAAGAATGGGAATCTCAACAAAAAAAGGTCACATGTTTTGTTTTTTTGATTATTAATATTAGATTTTTACTCATTTAGATTTAAGTAATCACAATTGTGATTTAAGCACAAATAATCGCTTAAATCACAACTAGCGTCAAAATGGCCCCTTTCACACTGGTTTAAACAGGCATCTCATGTAAAGGTTTCCTGGTTGTGAAGGAACATTTGAAGTTCTCTGTGATTCTTTAAAAAAAATCCTAAGTTTAACCATTTCAGTTGTTTTTAAAAAGTACAAATATTTAAAATACTTACAGATAGTTATTTCTTAAATATTTCCACTTACTTGTTGCTTCTTCCATAAATGTATTCCCTATTTTGGAGAAATGTGCCGAGAGCCTCCAGTGTTGCATAATTTGTTGCTCTGGCTGGTTGTTACGCAGAATAAACTTCAAAGCCCATAATGCAAGTGAAACATTTCATTTGACTTGAGCTATTCAGATCGCAAATCTGCTAATTAATTCTTCTTTATAAAGCAGACTGGCTTATGATTGCATGATTAGCCACTTAACAGAGTTTGTACTTTGTCATCTAGCAGCTCGTTTCAGTAGTTGGACAAAACCTGAGTGATTGTTCTGAAACTTGCTGTAAGCTCCTCGAAAGTAAAATTTTGATTTAAATTGGTTGAGAGTAATTTAGTTGGAGTCTTCTTATGGTATTTGCAAATAAATACTAATGGCACAGAAACCCTGTGGCTCTTTATTCAACCAATACAAAATCGATTAAAAAAAAAAAAGGCATCAGTTTTGCCTGAAGGAAAATAACTGCTTTGTCTGTTTTTTGTTTTTTTTAATCTCTGTATAATCATCTAAAGATTGTTAGAGTTAGTTCTTTCTTTCTTTTGGTTACCACTCTGAAACAGCCTATTAGCCTGTTTCCTATTAAAGAGAAGAGTAAGGATTGTCCTGTTTGCTCTTGTGTGCAGTAAGTAGGTCATTCTAACAGCAGCTGAACATGTGAGATCATGTTTAAGGGTAAAGCCTTTAAATGTGGTTATAAATCAAATCAAATCTTCAGTTCCCATAATAAAGCAAACAGCAGACGTCTGAATTATACAAAAGGAGGTAGTGAAGATAAAATCAGTGCTAGGTTTGTTCTCAGACTTTGTAAAGAATAGACTTTAAATGTCAGCATATTGTTGCATTTCACTTTTCTAAATGTTCCTCACCTCATCTGACACAAGTTAATTTCATATCAGCGGCTCATTGTATTGGGCACAGGCACGTTCCTCATTTGGTTACAACTACTCAGTTTTCTATGATTTACCACGAATTCAACAGCTTTAAAAGAATAAAGCTTTTTTTCTCCCCCCCTGATATTTGGCCATTTAAAAATAGGCATCGCATTTTTTAAACTGAACTGGTTTGCAAAATACAGGTCTGATCATTCTATTTCTAGGTTTGACTTCTTAAAAAGTCAAACTTTCTAAGTAAAAGAGATAATTTCCCGCTTCTTTTACAAGCACTAAAAAAATATTTGTCATGCTAAAAGTCTCATTTTAACACGCTCTTTTTGTGTGCATGTGTCAGTGTGAGGAGGAGACTACGTCCTCATTTGTACTTACCGTGTAGATGTAGTTCCTCCAGGGTTCACAGAAAAAACACATGTGAAACCTCCCCAGCTACAACACAAACAAAACAATCTGAGCCTTGGTCACAGTGATTTAACGTGTGCATTGACCTGTCTCCGTATGTTTGTCACGTAAACACGAGGAACACGTTTCCAGTTCAATCTCAATGATGTAAAATTGGATTGTTGTCTCTGTTTCGGCAGCTTGTGCGCATTTATTTAATCTTTTTATTATTATTATTCTTTTGGCAACCAAGAGTGCGGTAGAAATGACACAACATATCGCAATGTTCACCCCAAAATATCAGTGTGATTTTTAAATGTTCATCACCAGCCTGATCCCCAAAGTGAAGAATTGTGATGGTAAAAAAAAATGTGTGAGAGCAGTAGCTTGGAGATCCAACAAACTAACACCCTACACAGGGATTTAAAAGCGCTCTGTGGTAAGGCCAATCTCTCATTTCTCTAAAACATTGGTGAATGACTGCTTACAACAAGCGTTTTTACTCTAAAGACTAAAATTGGAGCACCATTGAGGTAGATGTTATGTTTTCTGCTAAGCATGTACCAAATACAGGTATTGGGATGTGTACCAAAGGTTTAAAAAGTTTTTAAAAGCATTGTTTTAAAGCTTTGTGAAAATCTGATACTGAGATTTGTACTCAGTTTTTTTTTTATTTTTTTTTATGTTTACTCACAGGTTGTTATACTGTGAGAATCTCATGCTTGACCCATGCCTGGTCCTAACCAGTATTTTTAGTCTGACTAAAAGCTTTGCCTTCTCTCCCAGAACCTGCAGCCATAATACCTGGTGTTTGTGGCTAAACAGTGTTGCTGTATAACGTATCTGCAGTGAATGGAAGTAGCTGTAAGTCTAATTTTTTGACATAAATTTCACTACTCGGCTTGATTCTGTTAGAACAGTTTTTTTTTTCTTGTTTTATTTATTTATTTTTTTAATAATCGGTTTACATAGAGAATATGCCATCACTGAATTTCATCTCCTGCTAAATTTTCAAAAATTTTATGGGACAGCCTCCTTTAACATTGCTTATCTAATTTGAAAACCTTTTGAAAGAATAATTTGCATAAAAACATAATATTTGGCATTTCACTTATGGTGATATTCAGAATCTGCTTTATAAAGAGTCTTGAAAGAATGCATAAAGCAAGACATTTGTGGTTTAAAAACCTTTTGCTTTTTTTACTCCCCCAGCAGTTTAATAAGAAAACAATGCCAAATTTATTTGTTGTTTTTGGCGTTGATCAAATATTCTGAGCAGATCATCCCACTAAATTAAAGATTATAATGTTAGGGTCTGTTTTGTAGTGTCAAAGCAAAGTTGAATTTATTTGTCATTTTTAATATACTAGCACACAGGTGTTTTGTTTTATTTATGGGTACCAATTTTAAACCCCAATTCCAAGCAAATTAGCTCTTTATGATTAAGTCTCTAAATATACAAAACATATGGAGCAAAGGGTGTGGCTGGAGAGCACTAAATATATTTTTTTTATGAGTCATTATTGCCCGTAACATTTAGCCAAACCAGTTCCAGCACCTCAAAGAGATTATAGCAGTAGATTGGCATGTATTCTTCTGTTGACACTTGTTTGCAAAACTTATTTTGTTGACCAGATCATGCAAGCGGGCTTAAGAGTAAAGAACTGCCTATGTGGAATTATTGACAAATTTGTGTATAAAACCCACAGCTTACATAGCAGGTTATGTCTGGAGATCAAATATTTAAGGGAAGTGTTGCCCCAGACTACATCCTCTTGCATTGTGTGAAAGTCCTTGGGTGGAAGAGATAGTATTGAATCAGCTGACTGTGTTTTCATGTTGCATGTTGCAACAATGCAAATAATAAACTACTGTGATGATTTCAGTATTTAGTATCCTTCTGCATCAAAGAATATCTGTTTTTGGTCTTTTATTTTTAAATGACAAAAAAAAAAACAGCAAAATATCAGAAATATTTCTGAAACTAATTCCTATTCAAGTCATTTAGATTTTTTTTTGTTTTTTTGTAAAGCAAAAAATAAATAAACTTTACATAAAGTAAATGAGAAATGGCTCCTGACTTCACAGTTGTGCAAGCTTTACAAAATTTCACTTCCAACTACTATTAATACCGCGTATGACGTTGCCACCTCCAGTCTGGTGCATGCATTCCCGTCGGTTCTGAAGCAGACCTCCCACTCCAACCATGAAACACCACCCCCACTCGATTTGAAACCTCCTCCTGGACAAAAGCAGTGTCCCTTTAAAAAAAAATACATACGAAATCTATCGTCTTGATCAGATGGCATCTCACTAACTGGAGCTGGATGCCTTGGCGGCCGGTGTCCACATCATGGCTCAGTTCGCCGAGGTCCTGAACCAGGTGAGGTCGGTCCTCACCGTGGCGCTGCCCGGTGAGGTTCACGCTCTGCTGGAGGGTCTGGTGGAAGAGGGGATCATCTCGGAGGCATACAGGAACAGTTTGAATCTGCACTGGCTCAATGATGGCATTGTGCCTAAATTCACGAGCAAACCAGGATGCGTCGAGCTGGATGAGGACTTAAACACTCCAGGATCCGTGGCTCAGTTGGACCTCAACCAAGAACCGATGAGCCGAGTCAGAACAAGCGGATCGAAATCTCTCGCTGGTGACCACAATGTGGAACAAACAGAATCGGTCTCATTAATAGAGGAACCAAACAGCACAAGATTTACCCTGGAGAAGAACAAGTGGCTCCAACATGAAATTCTGCAGCAAAATCAGGAGGAAATGCAGGATTTATTGGAAGAAGTTCTAATGGACATGTCCTACTTCAACCAAGACCCTCTTTCCTATGACTGCACTCTCAGATCCATTGATGAAAAAGCAGAACTGCTGAGCGGTGCAAGGAGTGAGCCTCCTAGTGATAATGAAAGCATAAACATGGGGAATGAGGAAAGTGAGGAGGTGTGGTTACAGCAGCTAGAGGAATCGGCCAGGAGGATAGCTGTTCCTCTGTGGCAGAACTGGGACAGAGGGAGAGGGATGTTGCAGACCCTGCTGCCCTGTGGGCCAAGCAGCTGCTCAATAAGCGACAGGATGATGCTGGAGGGTGAAGCCCAGAGTGTCGTTTTGGACAAGGAGGAGGAAATGGAGCTTGCAGCCGCTTGCAGTTCACTTGACACCTGCGTTGGCGACTTTGAGTGTGAAGAGCTGAGCTTTGCGTGTGACACAGACGCAGGCAGGTCAGAACGAGAAGGGCTTCACTTTTCTACCCTCAGCGGGGTTGCTGTGTTCAATGCGGACGACTTCAGGATCCTTGGAGCGACAAGAAACGCCTCACCTGTTGAAGCCTGCGAAGCAACGGAGGCGGGATA